TAATCAAGTGAGACTTATCATCATTGCTTCCATCCCCAAAAAGACCAGTGTCAATATTTTATCCAAATTTTTTGTCGTGCTGTAAATAATTCAACAATCATAGAACTTACTGAGTGTGCTTTTCTTGGTCATATACGTTTCTATGTTTGGAAAACCAGTTTTGCAAAACCCTCCAGCTACCCTGGCCCAGAAAAGACTCTTTGACCCAAACTGGAAATATATGACTTAACCCATCCCGTTTATTTCCTCTCTGATCATCTTTGTTTCCCGGATCTCCATGATAAAACACTCATAAAATTTTATCTTATGCCTTTCCCAACCATTCCTCACCGCACCCTTGTGTTCTGACCAGAATATTTGTTGCCCANTGCCCATCTATTTACTCCACAAATATTATTGCATTAGCCCGGGGAAGAATTTATCGGAAACAAGCTTTTCTGCTACTCCTCTTGTTCTCTTAATGTCACGACAGAAATGTTCAGTAAATAATCTTCTCATTTGACCTTTCCCACTGATTGATTCCCGTCTCCGTACACAAATAACAGGTCTACCTTAAATGTGGTACCTTTTATCGTCCTTTTCATTGCCAAACCTCTGGATCACTCCCTGAACTCCGTCCGTAAACTGCTTCTTGATTATTTTTCTACAGTCTCTCCAGTCCCCCTATCACCCTTCCTCCATAAACTTGTTTATTCAGTTGACAAATACCCTTTCTTTCATGGTTAAATGGTTATTTTTTGGTGAAATTTCAATGCACTATGATGTACAGGAATGGATCTCGTCCTAAATGAATCTGGTGTACTAAAAGGTGTTGCCCTTCCTCGGCATTTCTTCCTTACCTACTGCATCAATGGTTTGTTCATTCCTCCGTCTGTGAAATAGACACTGCATGCAAATGATGTTGTACTATGCCAATCAGTCTCCAATCGGTATGATATTCTGTTCGTGTTGGATTATTTAACTGATTTGCAAAGCTTTTTCTTTCAATTAGACTTGAATATCCATTTCTCGAAATGTCTTCTCAGAGTGCTGTTAGTAGAATGAGACGATTGTCCTCCCAAGTATATAAATTACGACGATTCACTGCGAAACAATCTGATATTTTCTCATATTGTCTAATTGTGTTTTTTCATTATTCTCTACTACTTTCCAAAACATTTTTTTCTTAATCAGCTTAACCAAGGTTTCACAGCTCTCCGTCAGGGCTCAACCAACATTATCTTTAGTCGCTCAGACCTGCTTCGATTAGTTTACAAAATTCTAAGATACGCACACATTCGAGAGTTGGCCGCTCATCAGGTGATCGCGTTAGATCAGTGCTCTCCCATGTGTAACGTTGACAAAAACTAAGCTGTTTGAAGCCGATCAGGAAACCAAACACGGTGAACTGACAACCCCGAGATTAGATTCTACCTGCTAGATTAGAAGAATATAGAAGATCCACTGATATCTCTTGGGAAGGATGTATTAATCTCACTGTGATGTTGAAATGACAATGAAATTGCATGACAAACTCCCGTTCCACCAGAGAAACTGATCGCTTAAAATGATTCATACAAAATTCTAGTCATTCATCGAAACAAGTTGCATTTTGCAACGACATTTAGCTTTGTGATACTGGGATTTGCAGTAGAGCATAAATAATTCCCCTTTTCAATCCCAAAGGGGTAAGTGAGGGAACTTTTACTCACTCTACCATGCCAGCAGAGACGACCAGTCGACGCAGTAAGCGACGTGCCTTGAAATTTGGACGATTCCGAAACGTGTAACCAGCCACAGCGGCAATCCAATCGCCCGTTTTGGGCGGTAAATAACCAGACTGTCGTTCGGACGAGGAGGAGTAACGATGCAAAGAGCTGCGCGAGTCCCAAGCGGGAGTTTTTTTACCGGCGCTTCGCAAACGATCCAACGGACTGTCGGGAATGACACCGAGAAGCATGATCCCATTCGGGCCGCCATCTTCCGCATCTATTTCCAGACCTGGGGACAAATCAAGAGAAAGGGAGATTGAATGAGTTACAAAATTGAATTATCTGAACTAGTCACTTCGTTTGCGATCAAACATCTATAGCCGAGACTAACGAATTCACTTCAGTCCATGCCTGAAGAAAGCATTTATAGGGAAAATCAACCAACTTTGGACCGCATTATTGCCACAATCATAATGTAAAGTGCACATAGCTGGAAAAGTTCACATGTTACTCAGTTACAACTAATTGTACACCGCTCGCATAAGTCCTCGATCATTATCTGGTAGCACATTACAGTCTACCTAGCAATTTGTATTTATCTTACAATCAATAACATTAAGATTAAGTTTGTTTTCACTAATAATTCACTGGAACAAGTGGGAGGATGTAGCAATAACATAGGATAACAAATACCGGGGATCGAAATAAAATTTCAGTGACTAAATCCTGACAGAATCTTGTTCAGTGCGAAGCGCGTTCCTTGTACTTCAGTCCAAGCGTTTACGAATCCAGTGAGGTCAAAGCTGAGCTGTCCTAATTAGGAACACTGTCACCTAGGTACAGTATATCAGGCCATGGGATCAAAGCTTTTTTTCTTGTAATTTATGATTACTCCATCGGTGTTCGTGTTTCTACTCCCTAACAGTTATGATGTATAGGAAACTGCTTACGTAACCCAACCGAAGAAGTTTAGCAACCACAGTGAGCGGGACTGTTGAATTCAACCCTGCCAAAATCTGCCACCCGCTTTTTTCGCGATTTTACAGTGGAAAACTGCGTTCTATCCTCAACACATTTTATCAAATAAATTCTTTCAATTCTCAAGGTCAAAAGCTGTCCTACCGCCGCACGTTTTTGATCTCCCACCGTTTTATCGCGTGTGAACACTAATTTTCACGTTTTGCGCATTGTGTGCGAAATTGCTACAACCGACTGAGGAAGAAGGAACAAGGACATCAAATAAAACATCGCTCTGGTTGGAGGATCGCTCTCAGGCAGCGTTCCATTCGCAAACTGACTGTACCTGTTACTATCTCCAGTTACATCCGTTCACTCCTAGGAAAAGTAGATGAAGTTAAGAGTATGTTACATGGAAAAGTGTACAAAAACGTTGGAATTATTATGCTCCAGGAAAGCTGGTTACATCCTGACATTGAGGACTGCATTGTGCTGCTTGATGGATTTGAAATCTTTCGAGATGACCGGATTGTGAACTTCAAAAAAAGAGGTGGTGGAGTAGTCACCTTCGTCAACCGTATGTGGTGTTACAGCTCTCATCTTTTGTTTCATTTTAATACCAGGATAATCAGATGCATTGTCGTTCAATGTACACCCCGTTTTCTTAGCAATTTTCATCATATCCTGCTAGCAAACATTTACATTGCCCCTGACACGCCCACCTCTGACATCAGAAAGTTTTCCGACTCTTATTCAACACAATTCGTGACAGGCTTAGACCAGTCAGTGTGTATTGTGGCTGGTGATTTTAATCGTTTCGAGATTTCTTTACTAAGAACTTTAGGTTTGGTTGATCTTGTGCACTTTCCCACTCGTTTGGAGGTCCAGCTTGATGGCATTTTTGTAAATATCCCAGATATCTTCTTTATAGAAAAACGAGCTCCTATTAGCACGTCCGATCACTGTAAAATTCTTTTGCACCCAAAAATCTATGGTAAAATGCTTCACCGTTAACAAGCAGCGGTAGCATCCCGAACAATACGAAGGAGGAATTTTACACATGATAACTTATCTCAACTCCAAGATATGATCTCTTCAACCGATTTTTCTGTCTTTTTCAATTCAAATAATTCTTCCAGGTGTGAACATCTCACCGGCTACATTAATTTCTTTTTTGATTTGTGTTGCCCGATCGAGACAATATATATCCGTACCGACAGATTCTCATCGCCTCTCCTAAAACGCCTTCGACGTATTAAGGAGAAGGTATATATGAATGGCAGGCGCTACGATGTTAAACGACTCTCGATTATCATCAAGGCAGAGATTCAGCACTTGTATCGGATGTATGTTGAAACCATCCTGGGTAACCAGGGCTGTCGCGAGATGTGTTCGGCGTTGAAGCAACTGTGTGGCACACGTGGGAGCTAGTATCCTGACGTAGAAGAATTAAACCGACAATTTTCTGCCTCCTCTGGGTCCAATTCTCTACCGTTCGTTTTCAATTCTTCAGAAATCACCAACCCTGTTTCCCCGATTGAGGTTCTCAAGGTTTCGAAGTAACTTAAGTTAAACAAGGCCCAGGGACCAGACTCATTAGCCCCTGTTTTATTGAAAACCTGTGCCGAACACCTTGCAACACCCTTCGCTGAGTTGTATAATTTGTGGATGTCCTCTGGAACAATCCCTGATTACTGGACGGCTTCCAGGATAAGACCCATTCCCAAGAAGGGTTCTTCAAAATATCGACCGATTGCATGTACCTCAGTCCTATTGAAGTTCTTTGAAAGGGTGCTGTTGAACCGTTTGACTACCCTCTCTGATGTGTTTGATCCTCTTCAGTTTGCTTATAAGAAAGCCCTTTCGACTGTTGACGATGTGGTGTATCCTGTTCATTCTGTTGCCTCAGTTCTTGATACAAGTGCTGGAACTGTTCGCCTTATTTTCTTGACTACGCCAATGCCTTTGGTTCGCTTGACCGTTGCATTCTCATTCAACGTCTTGCTGACTACGGCCTAGGATCCGACGTATTAAACGTATTAAACGTTGTCAACTACTTCCCTTCTAGGACACAATTTACCCCATGCAATGATAAAACGTCGTCCTCTTCTTCTGTTAACTCTGGTGTCTTCCAAGATGCCATTTTATCTCTCTTCTTTTCTTCCCTGTACATAAACCATCTGCTTGTCCTCACCAACTTTATTGTCTGTAAGTATGCCGACGATGTGGTGATTGGGTGTCCCTCCAATACTGATACTTCTTCCCATCATCTTCAAAGTAGCCTGAATGACGGTTTTAGTTGGTCTTTACCCCGATCATTATTGCTTAATGTTTCCAAATGTGTCAACGTTCCCTTCAGCCTTAAATCTGGCTCCGCTGTCAAACTACCTTTAATAATTTACCGGATCTAATAGTTAACAGTCACAGCATTCCCAAAGCTGACTCTGTTAAATACCTCTGAGTCTTTTTATCCCACAACCTCTCTTGGACCTTACATGTAGAGAACGTTTACAACAAGGTTCGTAAACTCTCTTTTTATGCTTTCAGGCTTCGAAAGCTTGCTGTTCTCCCAAACGTAATTTTAAAATTCGTGGTAGCATGCATCCTCCCTCATTAGTTGTACTGTTCCCCTGTATTTTTCCCGGCCTAAAAGAAAAAGATTTAGTATTAAGTTCCAGGTCTATTACACTCCTTTCTCGATGTAGCGGCATAGATAGAGAGGTTTACTGTGTGCAAACATATCGATGCATGTGAAAGAATAGCTGACTAAATCTTGAACAACGAAGATCACTGTTTGTACAAAGAACTTACTAAATCCATGTCAAACCACCGTACTCACTCTCATTATGGGCTGCGTCCCGCACGCACCGTCGCATACAGAAACAGCATCCTCCCTTTTCTTGCTCACTTTCTAGTAAATCGGGCACCTATTATTTCAGGTTTGGTTGAACACCTCATGAGTTAGTTTATTTATTCGTTTTTTATCCGTCACTATCGTCTTTCTGCGTTCAGTTTTTTGTCGTTTTTTATTTTCAAAATTAACCTATACACAATCGAAGGCCATTCACCTCAGCTCCACTGTAAAAAAATCGTGAAAAATCACTGAAAATTAACCCTAAAAGTGCATAAAGCTTACTTTGACTTGACTTGAATTATAATTGATTGATTTGAACTGACTATCCCTCGGACTTCACCTTCACGCACAATATTCAGTTCATCAATTCAAACACACTCCGAACCAATAGAATCGAGTTTCACTGTTGTTAGAGCTCATCAGTACTGCATATCTACCGTTCCATCCGGGATTTGAACTCCGGAGAAATCGAAAAGAGGGTGTGTGCGTTACCACTGAGCCAACCAGCCCATACCATGATTTAACTGAATTGCCAATTCATGTTTGTTCAGGTGTTGTCTTCAGTTTGACGTACGAAGGATAGTAAGTTTACATCACTCAATATCAATAATCCCACACCACTAATCACGAGTAACTGTGGGTTGAATGCGAATAATTATAATTGGTTGCCAAGTATTTCCGGTATATCGTATATCTCAGAAGCGGTCAAATTGGTACACTCGATATTCCTTCCTCCCTAGCTGCAGAGAAAGAAAAATGATTTCAAACTACCAGTCTCGCGTAGTACAAAATTAGCTCACTTATCATTGTCGATCTGCCACACAGGTACAAACTGAACAATGATGTGAAGTACACAGCTGAGCAGTTTTGCTGAAATCTCGGTACCATTTCGGAAAGCCCAATGAAGGAATGTAAAAATTTCTTGAATCAAAAAAAACAGAATCTGAAAGTTTAAATTCCTACCAGGTACACGTGAAGTAAAGATCTGTAAGGTATGTCTGAGCTTTCGATGATCAGCGGTAGATAGTCACCGAATCTCTTATTTCCTCGAGGTCTGACCAATTCACCTTAGTGACAGAACAATGAAACCGTTCGCATAAGAACACTAGAAAAGTTCACCCTGTTTGACTCGATGTACTTGCCCAGAAATTCGCCAGCCGATTTCGTCAACGTTAGACGGAGACAATTCTTGTCCGGTTGATATATCGCATCCATGGATTGTGAACGCGTGGCCGCGGTCACTTCTACTCGGTTCAAACTGCTGGCCGTCGATCGATGGTGTATAGGTACACGATGTTGATGTTGTTTTTGTTGTTTTTGAGGGATCTCGTCAGACAGACGGGCAAGTCTCGCGGGCATTGGTAAACGTGAATAGCCTGGTGTGTACAGCGGGCCATCCACACTTGTTTTATCTTCCGCCTCGGGATCGTGTCCAGGATCGGGGAAACGAGTTAACTGAATTTCCTCGGATGCCTCCGTTTCCTGGTTGATTCGCAACACTGTCAACTGATTGGATGATTCAGTCTGGGTGGAAAATAGAACGCAATATTATCATTAGAACAAGTGTGACCCCAATCGGGATCAGAATCAGTCGAAAACTCTCCCATCTTGTGTAAAACCGTTTCAGCTTTCACGAGCCTCATCAACACCACCAGTGCAAGTGGATAAACGTAGTTGAGGGGTTACATGTAAATGGCAAGCTACCCAGTTAACCCCTTAGAAGATGGCCAGACTGGTTTGTTTTTATCAGATACGAGTTCATCGGTTGCGGAACAGTTCGTCGAAGAACGTGTTATATGTTCTAATAACTTGCAACTAATTTGCTGTCTACTGTTGAAGACTGTTTTTGAAACTGTGAACATGTAGTTCAACTATTCACAATCTGGAGTAGTTAACTCGAAAATAATAACCAACTTGTACGTCGCAACACAGCTAAATTCACATGGATCTCAGAGACTAAGAATTTTTCAAAATTCTATGCTAACGAGATAAGCAAATTGAAAGACTAGCCCATTCGCAATTATAAACTCAACATTTCCAACGGTTTAAGGAAGGTGGGCATCTCGGCTACATCGATTGTCCTGATGATAACCGCGCCAATGTGAACTCACCCTCTCAATGACGTCTGTAGCTCAACTTACACTGTTTGCCAGAGAGCATCATCCATCCACCCCAAGTTTGATGGTCTAATAACATTTACCCGTCCATACAACGACGGTAGGTAAAAAGAGAACCCTACTCTAACAGAATAAATCCCGGACAAGTTCATGTGGCCATGTGGAACTGTACTCAACATCCCGAAAGATCAAAGAGAAATAATCACACAATCTGGTATTCCGTTGAACTTCATTCGTATCCGTGACTTCACATCTCTGCCCGTCAGTTGACCTGCCTTCACAAATTATATCATGAAAGCGTTCTCTATCCTCATCGTTTCCGTACGGAATGAATGATCCAGTAGTAAGCTATTTGTCAAACGGTCATAACTTGAAACCCGGAACTTTCGCCGTTTGTTTAACGCCAGTATAGGTAAACCAAAATCTACTGGTTCCAGGGAGATAAAGTAACCAAAATGAAGTGGTACATTTACACCCCACTCTGATAGGATTTGGTCTTCTGTGGCGGGTGGAAAGTTATAATGAAGAATTTTTCTGTCTACGGCGAAG